ATATAGAAAAATAAATATTGAGTGAACATAAATTAGTGTTGCTATTTAATGCACGACGTGAGAGAGATTCGTCCAATCGAAAGATTAATTCACACTCTCGATCTTGGGACAAAATCAATTTTCTCGGAATTTATCAATAATGCCTCATAAACGAATAATCCGAGATGAGCCATTCTTACCTCGTTAGAAGCGCTGAAATCTTAGCTTTCCAACGAGACCAAGATCATCTTGCTACGATTTTTCTGTGCGACGATTTTGACGATTATATCGGCTCGCGATCTCGATCTCGGGACAAAATCAATTTTATTTTTGTAATTAATTAATGAAATCTCGTAAACTAATAATCCGAGATAAGCGATTCTTATCTCGTTGGAAGCGCTGAAATCTTAGCTTTCCAACGAGATCAGGATCATCTTGCTACGATTTTTCTGTGCGAAGTTATTGACGATTATATCGACTCGCGATCTCTTAATCCTGAGATAGAAGCAGCAGACGACGCGTATGCGGCGTCTCGCGCAGCGGTGTTTACTACCGAACCCCTGTGCCTCGTATGTTTTGATGCCAGTTTTTTGGGGACGTAGTACACTTGCGTAATACTCGCGTAAAACTCGCGCGGCCTTCATTCATGAATGGTGCGCGCGCGCCCGATTTTTAAAACGCTATAACTCGGCGAAAAATCGACGTAGCGACACGAACCAAAAACCAATCTTCTTCGTTTCGCATCTCGCAGATGTCTATACTGAATATGTATGCCCTTATCATAAAACTTACACACGACAATGGAATAAAAAGTAAAATTCTGAAATATAAATTATACGTGTAACTGCTAAATATAAAAATTGGCTGACAAACTATAATATTAGACTGTATAGCAAGATTGCCCAATAAAATTGTAATATTGAATATAGAACAACGGCTAATGTAACGCCAATGTTACGTATCAATAATTGCATGGTATTGCATTTACATTATTTCCAAATACTACGCCAATACTTTGTGCTATCCGGGCTTTATCGACACTTTATATTATAATTCAACTACAGATTTAATATTTTTATTTTCATTGCGAGAAAGTAACTGCAAAGTAACGATTCGTTTTTTCTTTTCAGAATTAGTAATTTGTAACTGTAACTAGTTACAATTTTAGCGAAAAAACTGTAACTGTAACTAGATATTTTTTTAAAGTAACTTTCCCAACCCTGTAATATACTACTAAAAATGTTATAAGGACGATCTCAGTATGTCAAATACAGCACGTTTATTCGCGTAGTATGAGTATAGAATATTCAAATGATATCATGTGCTGTGTGGAGTGAGAGGGAGAGGGTAGAGATTTCGTGTATTGCAAGTTGGAGATGCGATCGCTCGTCATTCCCCGTTCGAGGAGACCAAATCCGGAAAAATATCGGGCAATTTGCTAATCCCCGCTTTCGTTTGATCGAGAAATTGAACCCCCCCCCTCCTCCCTCTGTGAAGAAAAAAAGAGCGCGGATAATAAACGCCGGGCGAAAGCTATCCAACGGCGCGCTGCCTGGACCCGGGTTGCGATTTATATCGGACGAGTACCACTCGCAAGAAATTAAACGCGCGCGCGCGAATGTCGAGCATGTAAAGTCGTAAAGTACAAATATTTGTGCCGCGCATCAACGATACGCGGGGTGTTTATGTTGGACACATATTGCCTAATATTTCTCCGCGGCGCGGGGAAGCGAGCGCGCCCGCTCGCGCCGATGTTTGCATTCGAAACAGCGATTTTCATAAAGAAACCAGTGACGTTCGATAAACGACTTTAGCGTCAGCATAAATGTTTGCCGGCGAATGTGATTTTCCGGCTGGTAACCGGAATACGCGCTGGAGATACCATCAAACGCGATATTGGCGCGCCGCTTGAAACACGCCCTCCCCCCTGCCCCTGGCTGCGTTACGTCATAAAATTCAGCTTATTAAAAGCGAGATTAATTAGGTTGCGCAATATCCTTTTCAATTAGCATGAATTTTCCGCGGTGGCACGATTTCCCGCGTTTCACCGTTCGCCGCCGGCCGCCCAAGTGACGTGCGATATTAATTGCGCCGCCTAGAAAATTTCCTCGCCTGTACACGCCCGAGCGGGGATTTATCGAAAATTGCCCGACGTGCCTCGCCGTGACGACCAATTCAATCGCCGTCGCGTTTTTAACAGTTTTTAATCGTCCGATAATCGCGCGCGTTTCGGTTAATACGTTCGGATTTTCGACGCCCCGCGCGCAGGGAAAACAATCATCCCCGGCGTAGCGGCGGACGGTGGCGCGATCATATTTACGTCCGCCTCTAATTATCCATGCGAGGATAATAACCATTTGGGGCAACTCCCGTCGGGCTCATCGCTTCCGCTCCGATCGGCCGGAAGCTGACGATATCCTGCCGTGTTAGCCCGCGTACACTCGATGCACGCGAGTTCGGTGCCGCGCGGAGCAAAGGGATCCCTTCCGCGCCTACTCGCTCTCCCGCGTGGCACCCAGCCGTCTGTTCCTTCCGCAGGATTATTTCACCGCGTGGTGCTGTCCAGCGGCTCGGCGCTGAGTCCCTGGGCCTCCGTGCACGACCCGAACGACCTCCGGGCGAAGATCGGCGAGCAGATGGGCTGCTCGACCGAGTCCGACGAGGACATAGCCGACTGCCTCCGAGGGGTGCCTCTGAAGACCCTCATGGACGTGCAACTGCCGGAAATCAGGTGGGCGCTTAGACACGCGGACGGCTAGAGATCCTGAAATCGGAGACTGGCCGGAATTCCCGCGAGTGAGAGAGAAGCATAGGCTATACCTCGCAGGAATTTGACCAACTCTTATGGCCAGTCACTGATTACAGGGTCCCTACCGAGGGCGAGCGTCACACTCGTTCCGCCCCCGCGTTCGCGACGGGGGAAAATTAAAATAATGAAATATGTATCGCGAAATTGGTACAGATGGAATGCATCGATACCTCTTTTCCATCTTTTTATTTATGATAGCACGTCGATGTAATAAATATTACCTCGGAATCGCCCCGTTTGTGCCACACATATATATATATATATATATATATATATATATATATTGCAGGATTCATATTCATCGCCTGAATATTAGAGCTGTGCATTTCGATGGAAAAGTGGAAAATGCCGGATTGTAAAAAATTCAGCAGATATGATTGATACGTTGAAAAAATGACGTCTGGCCAACGCAGCCGGCAATTACTGCGTTACAAATTCATAACGATTTCATGAGTTCACGGCTCTGCGGTGAATTATGACGAAGCGTCGAGACTGCGCGTCAGCGCGTATTCGAAGATCTCGCGGCGTTACGAATTGTCGCGGCTCTTTTTCGCGCGTCCGCGGGGAGAAGCGCGATCGGAATCCGGGGGTAGGTCGGCTGGGATCTTAAATTGAATTTCGACGCTCGTTCGCGGTCGCTCGCCGGATTAACCATTAAGCCGCGCGAGCGCATCCGCGAGTATATTTACCGCGAGGCTCGAAATGAAATCTGCGATACTACTAATTGCGAGGATAATCACGGCGCGCGCGCGCACGCTAAATTATTATCGGATTACCGTCGGATCGTGGCGGGTTAATAGCCCTCGCTTTATTGATTTAATACCCTTATTATATCAATTTAGCGTCGCGAGCACCCCGCTCGCACGAGCCCAGAGGCCGCTCTGAATTTTCCCGTTCGCCCCCCCCCCCCGCGTTTTGTGTCCCCCTTCAGATTCGTGCCCCGCGTCGGGCCCGGCCTGCCGGTGGACCAGAACAACCCCGACCCGGGTCTGGACATGGAGCGCGCGAGCGACGCGTTCATCAAGGTGCCGCTGGTCCTGGGCGTCTCCACGACCGAGTCGAATCTCGACTTCAACAACAACGACATACAGTTCGGCTTCGAGGAGGATCACCGGAATCGCATCCTGCGCACCTTCATCCGCAACGCCTACGTCTACCATCTCAACGAGATCTTCTCGGCGGTGAGAAACGAGTACACGGACTGGGATAAGCCGGTGCTCCACCCGATCATAATACGGGACTCGACCATGGAGGCGCTGAGCGACGGCCACACGGTCGCGCCTCTCATGAGAATCGCCTTCTACCACGCCAGGCGGGGCGCCAAGACGTACTTTTACCACTTCAATCATCAGTCCAAGGACAGCGGCTACGTGCAGGTAAGACGCATTCCTTATCACGTTCTATCGTGCAATCGCGCTCACTTGAATCGTTGCTTCACCTTCCCGTACACCCGAATAATTACCAGTATTATGCTTTGGAGTTTCCTACACGGGGCGAAGTTTTTCTTCAAATGTATCCCGAAAATGACGCGATCGCGGGACAACGCGGCATTTTCAAGAATTTTATGAGTTTTTTGAAATTTTACCATACACCCATCTACCTAGTCGGTTTAAAACGTTTTGCGGCGTTGTTCGACGCCCTCCCTCCACCTATTTCGGTCCTCTGCATCCTCTGGTGACAGATTTCTTTCGCGCGTGGCTTTACGGACCATTTGTTGCCACTCCAACATTGGTCTTCCTCTCCTTCTTTTTCCCATCGGCTGCCACTCCTTTTACCATACATTCTACTAGTAATTATAATATTGCACGTCTCGTTATCGATGATAGTATTGTAGTTATGCTTGCCATGCCTAACATCACAACGTTTAAAACCTAGTACATTTGACTAAATTGGCGCTCTTCGTCATTTTATCCCTAGAATGCCCCTTTTATCTTCACGTTGTTTCGTTGTGCCGAAGCATCGACACGTTTTTTTCGTTAGTCCTCAAAAAATCCGGAAAAATAATTCCGGCTCCTGGAAAACCTTGAAAGAGTCAAGGAATTTTTTTCATCGAGTTTGCTGAACACCCTGTAGTAGAATGTACGGTAAAATTTCAAAAGACTCTCACGCACAGTTGTTCAAAATGCCATGGTGTCCGGCGATTTTCAGGGTAAATTTTAAGAGAAAAGTCTCTTAAATCTGTATCTGATTGATACCGGCCGTATTGCTCTTTCCCTGAACGCAGGTGCCACATAGCATAAGAAGAAGAAAATGGTGGAGCCTGATTCACTATCCAAGCTCAACGCACTTACACCTTTTATACCCATTGACCTACGTGCAACGAACTACCTAACGATCCTTCTTGTCATCCCTATTTCCTACTACTCATCCTCTAACATTATTTATCCTCTCTCTCCTTCCGCCTCTTCCTCTCTCCTCGGTCCTCAGCCTGCGCGTCTTCCTCGCGTTCTCCTTATTTTCTCGGCTCTTCTTAATCCTTGGAGTGTTTCCCCCGGTACTTTCTTTCTTCCTACCTCTTTGCCGCTTCGGTTTACTGTGCCAAGACACTCATTTTACACTTAAATACCGAGTCTCACAGCTCTTCTCTCAAGTAGCCAACGATAAGGAATCTCGCGAGAGACGCGAGAGATTCCCGGGTGAAATTCGCGCGGCAGCGGGAGGGCGGCGAGAAATCGCGTAATTTAGCGCCGTCGATCGACGCGAGGGGTAAGCCCGCGGTATCTCGAGGCGTCGATTTTTCTCCCCGTCGTGAAGCGATATCGTCCCGCTGCTAACACAGGCCATCGCGCGCCACTGCTGGCGCGCGAGGCGGAGGGCGGGGCGGAGCGGGGGTGAGCAAAAGAGGTAGAGACTGCTTAAGTCTGAGTTAACTCCATTAACTTGACGTCCCGAAGAGAGACTAACGTTCGCTCTCGACACCTAGGTGGTCCGCCGGGCACTTCCAGTTAAGGAAGCAACCCGTTCAGCCCCTACCCGCGCCCTCGCCCGATCCCACGTCCCCGTAGCTCATCCGTCTCACTCTGCGTCGCGCCCGATCTATACCCGGGCTGGTAACCGCTGGCCATGACTTCACGATGAAGACACTGATTTAATAAAACGCCCCGGAGCGACCCGCGCGCACCGTGTTCGCATTTTGTCTCGGGAATGACGGGGCTTTGTCACGCTTGACATAATAATATCGGGGAGGACAAGAAAGAAATTGTTATATCGGCCAATTTGTAAGGTCGCTGCCAAGCGGCGCGTTAAAGTCGCGACGGGGAGACAGATTGACGTTTTCAATTTGGAGGGAAAGAGGATCGCCTCGGGAGCTCGTCAAAGAAAGAAAAAAAAATGCTCGTACGGCTCGTGCTTGCCGGATATTTAAGGAAACGAGCCGTCTCCGATGCGGGGGGCGCATTATCCTTCCCGCGGCATTATCCGCCCGGCGTGTGGAAGGGCGCGTAGAAACGCGTCACGTCGGCTCCCAAAAGTTGTTTAATCCCGCCCGGCGAAGGGACGGCGCGGGGGGGACGCGAGTGGCCGTGTAAGTTAACAGCGTTTCAGAGCACCGACGTTATTTCCTCGCCCTATCCCGTCCACGTGTGCGAAACGAGATTTAATTAAGCGCCCGCCGAAAGATTCGCCCTTCAACGAGTTCGCGTAATCGCCGACTGACCCTGCGTCGCTTTAAACATCAACGCGATTTCGGAACTCGTCTGGCGCACCAGCGCGTCGCCGAAGCGATCCAAAAAAAAGGACGGGCGAATTAAGAGAGAGAGAGAGAGAGGGGGTGGGAGACAAAGGCGAGAAAAAGCCGCGCCGAAGGGAGATAAGAAAGCGATATCAAGACCACTGAATGCAAATGCGATGAATTTATTTGAATTGTTAATCGCGGCGCTTTCCGCCCGCCACGCGGTCCCCCCTCCGGCGGCATTCTTTCCCGCCGCGCGTTTCACGCGTGCTAATGGGGATCAGTGCGGTATAGCACGCGGTGCCATTTCACGCGGACGACACGGTGGACAATTTCGCCGTCCGATATTACGCGCGGCGCAACGCCGGAGAGACACGGTCCCTCTCCCCCTGGCCACGAGTCCTAGGCGATCGCCGCGGTTCTATTAATTAACTAAAATTCTAGTAATTGGCTATCAACAATTAACTGATGTTCTGTTTCGGCTAATTAAATAAAACAATCGCCAATAGCCGATAATGATTTAACAGCCGTCGCGAATTACGAATTGCTGCGATCGCAGGGAGAGCGAGGTGGACTTACAGTAAATATTACAATAGGCTCGCGCCTACGATTGCACGTAGCGCCGGCCGTGTAATTATCGATTACGGAGCTCGGGGGATGCTCCGGGTATGTTCCCCCGATTCTCTCTCTCTCTCTTTCTCTCTGAACGGAGGAAATCCTCATTGCAGCGCCTGGGGAGCGTTCGTGGGGAGGACATACCGTATATTTTCGGGCTGCCGTTGGTGGCAGGCGGGGCTTTCTTCCCGCGGAATTATTCCCGACAAGACCAGGGCGTTGCGGAGGCCGTGCTCACCTTCTTCACCAATTTCGCCAAGACCGGCAACCCGAACGAGCCGCACAAGATCGAGTCGGTCGACTACGGCACGCCGAAGGAGAAGACGCGATTCCGCGGTCTCACTTGGGAACAATATGAGACAGGATCTCAGCAGTATCTCACGATAGGTACGTTACGTCGCCCCGCGCCCGAGAGCGGCGCGGTGAGAAAAGGAGTTCTCTCCCCGTCCCGTTATTTTTCGATAAATTTAATTTTCCGCAAAGCGCCTTCTTCCCCTTCGTTTCCTCGCGCCGGAATGGTCGCGCGATCTTTTTAAATCCCCCCGAGAGTTTCCGCAGAAATTTGATTGTGTACGGTGGACTTTGTCCGCCGCGGTCTCTTTGAAATTTCCCGGAGAAGTTTAATTGCACGCAAGGGCGCGGGTCCTTTTCCAACAAAATGCGAAATTATTCTCCGATAATAATTATGTAGATATTCTTGGGTGCATTCGATAATTACAACCGATTCGCTATTCGCAATTATTCGCGACGATACGTTGCTCAGTCGCGCATTCACGATTGATTAATACGTAATGACTGTCCTTTGGCGAGCGGATATGGATAATTATCGGGGGAGAGCCGGGCGCTTTTAACTATCGAAATTTTATTTCAGCGTTGAAGCCGAAGATGAAGAGCCATTATCGCGGCCACAAAATGGCCGTGTGGCTTAACTTGATACCGCAGCTCCATCGTCCCGGCGACGACGACGTTTCTATGCGGCATCATCACTTCCGGGAACGAGGCGATCATTATTACGCAGGTGAGGTCGCGCTAGGAAGGAAACTCTCCAAGGCCTGGTCTCACCAACGTCGCTTAACTTTAAGCTTAGCTTCATTCATTCTTTGTCTCTTTCCAACTGTTACTTTAGCAAGAGACAAACGTGAATTAGACTAAGATCAAAGTTAAACGACGCTTGGTGAAACTGGGCCTCAGGTTTCACCAACGTTGTTTAACTTTAAGCTTAGCTTACTTCATTCTTCGTCTCTCTTTCCGACTGTTACTTTAGAAAGAGACAAACGTGAATTAGACTAAGATTAAAGTTAAGCGACGTTTGGTGAAACTGGGTCTTAAAGTCAGCCGGTGGAGTATCACTGAAACAGGACTTAATCTTAGTCTAATTCACGTTTGTCTCTTTCTAAGGTATAATAGAATGAATTAGGCTGAGTTTAAAGTTAAACAACGTGAACAGTCACTGATTTACAGTTATAAGTATACACCCAGAAAAGTCTTATTTAAGTCAAACAAATGAGATACGTTGGAATCGTGTATCTTTAATATTTCAGTGCTATACTTATAACTGCAAATCAACGACTGTTCACTGTCTTCGGCGATAATTCACCGATTGACTTTTTAGAGGGAAGGATTACCGCTCAGTCGTCATCCCTCGCGCTCTGTTATCATTCCAGGGCCGGTTCGGGACGAGTGGTACACGCCGCTGCCGCTGACGGGCACGACTCGGACGAGCTCGTCCTCGACCACCGCCTGCAGCACATCGACGGGCGGCGAGGACGGCCTCGTCGAGGACATCACGCCGATCCTCGACGATTCCGAGGACGACGCCGAGCTGCTGCAGAGACTGGCGTCCCGTCACTACTACAGCACGACCACCGCCCTGGGGATCACCGTGGGCGTCGGCTGCATCCTCCTGGTTCTGAATATGCTCATCTTCGCCGGCATCTATTATCAGCGGGACCGCGACAAGAAGCGCGCCGCGATGGATTGCAGGCCGAACGGGCAGGAGTCCCTGCCGATGACCACCCGGACGTCTATGAAGCCTTCCGAGAATCCGCGGCCCGTTCAGGAGCCACCCCCCTCGTACACTACCCTCGCGAGAAGCCCCTCCATCCAGGAGCAGCAGCAGCAGCTCCAGCTCGCCCAGTGCCAGGACGGCCAGGACTGCCAGGACGGCGAGCAGCTGAGTAGGAAAGATCCGAGATCCGGTCACGGGGCCAGCGGCAACGCCGTCCCTCCGAAACCGCCCGCCAGGACCACCAGCTCGCTCACCGCCGCCGCCGCCGGCAGCACCAACACCATCAAGAAACGCGTGCAGATACAAGAGATATCCGTATAGCATTAGGGGTTGCCCCCAGAGGGCAACGCGCGGACGAAGAGGGTGACCTTCGTGGACGCGGAGAGGGCCACCACGGAGTCCAGATTTTGAACGGTGCTCCCCTTCATCGCTCGTCGGACAGTGGCCGGATTTGAGCGTAGACTCGAATTCGGCGGACGAAGAGGGCTCGCAGTGTGCATTGCGTGCGTGCGTGTGCGTGTGTGAATTGTAGCGCGTCGGATAAGCCACGTACGGCCGAAGGGAGGATGGCGTGTTCGACCGCAGTCGGACGTTACTACTAAGAACGGGCCGATTATCGCCGACCGTTACTAACTGACTATAACGCGCTACTGAACTGTTATTACCAGCTGGATTGCGCCCGGCTGCTACTACTTAGGGAACTGTGCGACCGGTTCTTCCCACCGGTAGAAATATAAGATTGCATTGCACGTGGTCGTTACTTCTAATAGAGACGTGGATTGTACGTAGTTGCCACTTGTAAAAGAGACGGGATGTATCTCTCGATGGATTTTAAGGAACGTGATCGCCGAGGCCCGGTTTCACCAAACGTTGCTTAACTTTGATCTTAGTTTAATTCATGTTTGTTTCTAAACTATTCTAGAGTAACAGTTGAAGAGCGACAAAGAACGAATTGAGCTGAGCTCAAGCCGACGTTGGTGAAACCGGGGGGGGGGGCTAGGGTACTCGTCGTAACGCGTGACTCTATTACGTAATGTATCCGAGTGCTCAAAAAGTATTTTATTCAAAGGACTTTCCTCGCGATTGAGGATATCGATGCGATGTCTCCCAGCCGGTTTAATTCGTCGGAATGAATCCCGATTCTCTCGGAGACCCTGGCAAATAGGTGGCCTTAAGTATCGCTGCAGAGGGCATAAAGGAAGCGTGTCGATATCTTCGATGTCACAGAACAGGGCGCTTGACGGGGGATTATCGAGACGAGAGACGTATAATGGAATTCTGGCTAAAAAGCTCCAAATCGAATTCTCCGTTAAAAAGCAATTATACGTATAAGAATACCCGTGCGCGGGTGTGCGCGTCGATGCACGGTAATCGACCACGACTCTGATCTAAGAGATCTCGAAGCGGAATCGGAATACCAAAGCCGCGTACACGGTCGCATACCATCATCTCGACGATTGCTTTGTAAAGGCATCGATTGGGGGGGCAAGAGGCACTCGATTCGAAGCGGATCAAACGGATCGAGCGCGATAAGCGCTCCCCGTTATTCGCGAGTGAAACGAATACGGTGTACGAGGGCACGGTCTCTGCAAAGCGAAGGCGCACTCGTCGTTTCCGCCCTGGCGACACGCAGTTAACTACATCCCTCGTAACGTGTAATTCCGATCCTGCCGGAGGAGAACGGCTTAATAGCGCTCGCGAGTGCTCGCCAAGTTTATTCGGGCGGAAAGCGCGATTCTCCAGCCCGGCGTTACCTGTCGCGCAAGTGCGCAATCACGAGTGCATTCGACAGAGGAGAGAGCCGGTGGGGAATGGCGCCGGGGAACGCGACGACTTTCGAGAGGGCGGACTCGACCTTACCGCTGAGTGTTCTTCTCGTAGAGAATAGTCCGACAGCCATAAGTATCGTACGGTGGCCACGGAATCGCGGCTGGAACTCCTCGTCTGATGATATATACACACACACATCCTCTCGCGTTTCTCGCCCGCGAGCCTCTGCGATTCACCACGCATCTTGTATATTCTCCTCCACTTTAACATGCAAAACAATGTACGAGTACTAGACAGTATTTGACATCAAGGAAAATTTAAGTATCGAGTGTGTCTGTATGTTTCTTTCATTTGAAAGACTTGAATTAATATTACACCGCACAATTAAGTCTTTTCACCTTCGTGGATAGCGGCGTAATTTTGAATCTCAAGTTATTTACGTGTACGAAGAGATGAAAACTTACAATGTGTTGAGGCGAGAGCTCGCTCGACGGCACTTGGATTCTTTCGAGCCCAAATTTATGCAACAATCTTGACAATTCCTTCGTACTGCCTTTTTAAATCGGAGATCATTGCCAAGAACAACTATCTGCTCAAAAACCGTAACAATAAAAGAAGTAATTTCTCTTAAAGTAGGATTAAAGCTGTCGACTTCTATAGGACTCTTTCTCTCTTCTACGACCAAATATCTTAAGACGTGATCGCGCCCGTGTTTGCAGAGATACATTTTGTCTTTGTAGCGAGTTCTTAATCCCGAATTAATATTCATGACCTGAGATCGCTGAGACCACTAGACTCCACACAGATACCAAGTTTTGAAAGTCATCCTCATTGTGCGCAACCAAATCGGCCTGCGCGCGAAAATGAGATGCGCTCCTCAGGATACAATGGAATGCGAATAATCGATAATATCCGGCTTGACGAAACTCAGGCGCAGCAATACGAAAATCGGGAAACAGAGACACTGATAGATTTTTACACACTAAAAAGAAAAAAAGAATAACGTTTTGAGATTGCGTGGTAAGATTGTAACAAATTCATTCGTACATAACAATTAACGGGTGACGCTCGCGGGAACTGAATTTTCTAACAATTTAACTGTTATCCTAGAAGAAGAAAAAGACCTCGGAACTTTTTCCACCTAGAATGAGTTTCAAAATCATTAAATATTGAGAGACTGTCTAAAGAAATAAGATTAATCTAATCGATTACGTACGACTCCTCGGCACATGAAACTATACATATGTATCAATATGGTTAAGGTATGGTAAAGCTGTAATTAAGTACTACGTAGCGTTAATATGCACAGACTCGGTGTCGCGTAAAATCATATTGCCGACTACGATAGTTTTAAGTACGTCATTACGTGTAATTTTTCAAAGTAACTGTTCGCAGATGATATGATCTTTAACACGTTGTGATACTTGCGTGAAGGGTAGTATTGACGCACGTAAAGCGACAGTGAAATTTAAATACGTGTTATAGTCTAGAGAAACCAATTTGTAAATTTCACTGTACAACAAATAAATGACAATTTATAAAAATACACGGCGAGTCTTGTCTCTTTTCCCTTTGAATCACGTTCTTCGACTTTGAAAGTCGAAAAGTTCAACGTGAAGCATCGGATAATTGAAGAAAACGCACTTAACTCAAATATAGACGAGGCTATATTTTCGAAGTATCTAAAATATACATACATCAAAGAAAATGTAACAAAAAGTTGAAATGAAATTAGTTTCTAATATAATAAAATTATGCCTGCGGCATAATTTAGCGGTTCTCTCTTCTATATATTGTGAATGCATTGAAAATACAGTAAAATATACACTATGTGATTTTGAAGCCGCCAGGATGAAGCGATCTCAATCGATAGCTCTCTTCTTAGCCGGAGTCACATCACGAGAGGGACTATTGCCTCTTTTCTTTGTACCCCGCGCACGTCCTTTGAACATAAAGAACTTTGTTTGTACTTGCCTCTTTAAAGCGCAATATCATTTTGCAACGTAATAAAAAATTCAGATATTTTAAAAGTTTAACTCAACGAAATCCATGCACATAATTTATATGTTTGTTCATGATTTCTCAGTATTAGCATGGCTAAAGCATCATTATAATATATATGATAATCAACAATTACAGTATTTTTCAAAATGATCTTTTACCTTTCTTATTACCCCGCTTGGCCTTATGATACTTATTCTTCGAAGCTACCATATCTTCCATTGCTTTAGCGAGATACTTATTTTCCTCCTCGCCCTCGAGAAGTTTACAGGTAACTTCAATGTCCTTGATTACCACCTTGGAACACGATTAAAATGTTTGGCTCGATTGTAATTTCGAAAGCATTAAAGCAGCTATTGGAGAAACATTTTGCCGATATCCCTCACCTTGCCTTCGTTTGTCTTTTCTAACAAAGGTTTAGCGGCATTTTCCCCCTGCAGACGTATCCAGCCTTCCGTATTCCCCCTTTGGAAATCGATGTACGCAATATCGGCATCGAATTTATCTAAGCACTCTTTAATATCTTCTCTTGTACAGGTCTTGGAAACATTAGAAAAATAAATAACTGAACCTTTTGGCAATTTGTTCTCTGTCCCTGTAGATATTTGTTCTGTTTCATCGCCCTCCGACTCCTTTTCTTCTGTCTAAAAAAAATAATAAAGTTGTAATACGAAGTACAAGTGAAAGAATTTGGATTCAAAACGATAGATTATAATCACATCTATCTTCTACATTTGCTCACAGTTGATTTCTTCATTTTATCTGCTCTCTTTCTCCTACGTTCGTCCTTCTCTTGTGCTTTATCTGCATTATAAATCGCACTGCAAAATTTGTATCAGAATTACAATAAATATATTAACAGTATAAAGTATATGTATATTGTTATTTCTCTCTCCAGATATACTTTTACTTACGCCCATTTCCTTATCAATTCGGTCTCTTCATATTTGATGGATTCTACAGACATAAATGCTTTAGCGCTTTCAAGGGTCTCAAATTGCACAAAAACAGATCCTTTGAACTTAAAGACTTTATCTTTATCTTGATATTTTCTCATCTGCAAATCAAAATCATGTGTAAGATACTATTAATAATGTATTAAAATTATTTCTTGAAATCTATATTTATGTCTATATATATAAGATATTAAATCTGTCAAATAATTAGCTTAAGTAAATAGCCTAATGCAAGAAAAAAGAGCGGTTTAAAACTATTACATTGGTTACAATATTATTTGGTCTTACTTTGCCTGATTCAAAGCACAAGCAGGTGAAGATTTACTCGTGGCCCAAAAACATTTATATTTAAATTATTTTTATTGCGAAAAATATTACCTCAGCCAGGATTTGAACCTGGGACTTCCCTCAATCCGTGACGGGCGTCTTAGCCAACTCGACCACTGAGGCCGTGATAATATTATTCGCAATAATTGGTATAATACTTAAAGGAACGCTAGTTTCCAGGCAAGCGTTTAAAGAATAATAAACTTTCAAGTAAGGCCCCTAACTAAAACTAAACAACATATGAGAAAACGCCAATGTGGCGTTAATTAAAATACAAGATCTACAAGTTGGGCTACTTACACCTTGCCTTGCGACCCACATTGTCGTTTTCTCATATGTTGTTTAGTATTTATATTTACTTATTCTGTAACAGACAAGTATATTTACCACAATCGTTTCGTATGGCTTGTACTGCTCGAAAAAGGCAATCAGCTTGTCCATAGTTGTGTCGGTCAACGAAAAGCCTTTGACATAAACCGTTCGAGCTTCCTGAGCTTTCCTATATCCCTCGTTATATTCTGGCAAGGGATGCTTCAGCGAGCGACGTATCTTCTTCTTGTCCTCAGATACCTCCATGAGCTCGCTGGTCTCCAAAGCCTTCAGAATCGTGTCAACATTACTGCTGAGTGAGGCCAACTTTTTAAATTTTAACATAACGGTCATTGGAATCCAGCCTTCGTCCAGTTTCGCTTGCTCGATGAGAAATTTGTCCCTCTGCATATTTACATTGCCGAAGTAGTACTGTGGAAAAAAATTTTTTTTTAATATTAAATTTATTCACACATTTTCCAATGTTAGAGGCCGCATACAAGAGCGACGTGTGGCTTTGTATAAAAACGATAGACGCGGGCTGGTACTTGTAAGTGCCGGTTCTTACTTTAAGGTCTTGAGTAACGTCTCAAGTTGCTAATGTGGCTCCGACTAATTTAATTTAAGAAAATGACTTAAATACATAGAAACAAACTACGAATACCAGCTCAGGCAGGTTCCAGGTTTGATCTCGTCACGCAGTTCTGTTTTGTCAATAAGAAATTTGTCCCTCGGCAATATTTACATCGCCGACACGGTACTGCAAAGGGGAATTAAGGCTCGTCTACAATACATGAGGTAAGCCGGGCGTAAGAGTCTAGAACAAACTGGAACACAACGGAGTAGTCGTAGGAATGACAGTGTCACGTTGTCGGAGAAAGCGGTCATCTTGCTTTGAAATTAGCAAAAGGAGACTTTGCTGTGACATGGATTTCCATAAATTAAAAATATTAACAAGTGCCGGCTGTCGCGGCGGCGGAGTGATACAGTTTTTCTTGTACTCTGATCGGCCAGGCGTAAGAGTAGGAGTAGGAATTAAAATTACTTTAATTCGCTTACTCCTTTAAGGCCAATGTCCACGATGTTAGGACTTGGTCCAAGTTCTAGTTTCGAGAAATGTGTAGCCAATCAACTTGCAGCTCTTCCATAAAGC